AAGTGGAGGAGAACAAGTTTTCCTCCACTCGAACATCTACCGAAAATGAAACATGTTAATTCAGAAAATAATAATTACGCACAAAGTCGTGAGTGAATAAGCTAAAAGTGTTCTGTTACCGGGATCATCATTTATCTTTATCGGCTCCTCGACTTTCTTTTTCATCTCTTCCTTTGTAAGTCGATCGCGTCTTGCCCCTACAACTATGTCTTTCATTATCTGCAAGATTTCAAATTAATAATACATATTTAGTGTACGACGCGCGAATTGACAAGAAAGCCCATCATATTTTCTATAAATCCAAAAGTTGTTCTACCGAGAAGAACATTTTGTCCAGATCCTTTAACAAGAGTGAAGACGAACACGTAAGTTGAAAAATAGAGATTAACTTATTTTTTCTGTTCTAAAGACTTGTATGCAAATAGTGAATTGCGAATCGCAAACTATGACTCGGGCACAATCCGGCACTAATAAGTAATACGCATTTGCAGTCGTATCCTGAGAAACAACTGGATGAAGTGAGGGATGAGAAAGCTTTTATGGAATATCAAGAACGTGCTTCTGAGACATCCTTTAAACGTCATGGTAGGGACGATTATCATTTTACATATTTAGTGTACGATGCGCGAATTCACAAAGAAGCCGATCATATTTTCTATAAATCCAAAAGTTGTTCTACCGAGAAGAACATTTTGTCCAGATCCTTTAACAAGAACGCATCCGTCGAGAGATCCATAAATTCTGCCATACTGACGACATCAGTGATATATTGCAGTCTGAATAACAGCGATCGTTTAATTGCGTTAAATTTCCATTGAGCTTTCTGCACCACAGGAAGAAACTCAGATGCCAGCCTGCCGGTCTATAACGTAAAAAAACATTTGATGACAATTACACGTTGCATTCAATAGTAAATAGAAATCTATATACAGACAAAAACTATCCAATATTCAACATCTCAATACCCATAGATTTTTACTCGCGAGTTATGGCCAGATCGGTGTATCATAAATATTATACATACACAATAGTCTGTCGTGAAATTTCCACGCGAAGAAAGCAACTATTATCGCACGTGACAAGAGATAGATCGATTATATAATATGAATAAATTAGAATGATATAATATAAATAAATTAATCCTTAAATATCAATTAGTTTCAATTTGCGGCTTACAAGATAATCCTCTGTACGAGCTGCCTTTAGTTTTGCCAGGTATTTCGGGTCAGCAGCGCGAAATATTTTCAGTAAGTCCGTTCTGTAGTGACAATACTCCTCTCCATATATCGACGCCTATAAAAACGAACAAATCTGATTTATGAAATTAATACAAAAATACACATATCGCATAGGAATCAATGATTTCATTCACCTTGCAATCCACGAGTTTCTGTTGGCCAGATACCACGACAGATGTCTGCATTACAACCTCGGTATTATAGATCTTATATATCTTATATATCTTATATATCTTATATATAAGATGTAAGACGATGATATAAGACTATTAATAAGACCATGACAAAAACCATTAGAAATAGTTCTAGAAGGTCCAGCATTTTTCTGCAGCTAAATAAAGATAAACACAAAGATATACAAATTATGAAGGAGGTATAGAAAGGGCTTGAGAGTTTTTACCAAAAATGGAAAGCAATGTGTGCTCTTTCCTACTAAACCGGCTTCGCTAAAATCGATTCTTTAATTGAAGATCCGGTTTCACCAAAGACACTTAGCTTAAACCTTCGCTTAATACAATCTTCGTCTTTTTCTAAGGTAGTCAATTAGGAACAAACAAAGGATGAATTTAACAAAGGTTCAAGTTGATAAAACCAAGTCTAAGCTGTATTTTACATAGTCAATGATAATTCGCGTGCTTCTTTTTCTACAAAGCGGTCACACGAAAGAAATGTGATGGAAAAATCGATAAAAAAATCTTGCATATTACAGCTCCGGGAAACTCAACGTGGAATGATTGTGCGAAGAATCGCGATAGTAACAGATATTCGTACGAAAGGGCTCGCGTGGATCACAGTCTACAGTTACCCATATCTCACAAACATATTTCTGAAACGGTATAACTTTGAATAGTTTCTGGCGAAATAAACGAAACAGTCGTTACCGACCTCCAGGATGTGTAACCCGCGACACGTATTCAAAGCGATGTGTACAAATAACATATAAGAGCGAAGATAAGGGAGCGCGAAACTTGCTATGACCGCTAAGAGACCGCTTGGCGCGGTCTGTAATCGTTTAAAAGAAACAGTACCGATGTAACGTCTTTTCCTTTCAGATCTTTGCGATAGAAAAATAGGCCTTTGTGCACGTTTCACGCGGCGCATATAGAGAAAAATCTCTTATAACGACACACAGCAATAGCACAAAAGCATCATTGCATACGCATCTAGCGTGTGAGTATGTGTTTCTTTAAATACGTTCCCACTATTTCGTGTATCCGGAGTATACCTACATTCCGCACGCAAATGTATAAGATGCTAAAACGTTTGCAAGGTAAAAGTAACAATACCCGTACATGCACTTTTATTAAAAGTCTCCTATTATAATATAGGCTCCTAATATGAGGTAGTGGAGTTTCTGTATTGGTTCCACCATCAATTTATTGCCCTTGGAGTGAAATATGTTTAGTGGAAAATTCATGCTAGATCATATAATTGTTGCGAGAAAAGATTTGTAATTGAATTCCTACGAGAACGGCGTTGTATAAGACGCAAGATAAAAGGGGAATCACCAGGTGGTATCGAGATTTTGGCTTACGTTGACGAATGTCGCGAAGGATGATGTCCAGGTGACGATGTGGCTGCTGGATCGCTGAACGTTCAAAAACTGGACTGACGTACAAGCTTAAAAACGAGTGATCAGCACGCAGAACAAGTACATACTGCCATAATATTGTGACTCGGTGCCCTGACCGACTCGACTCGTCTTAAGCCAACGGCACACGATACTATTTTTCCTACTGGATTCCTTACGAGAGCTAACCAGGATTCAGCTTTGAGTCACCTGATCGAAAACTCTGCGTCCTGATTGGCTCTCGTAAGCAATCCAGTAGAAAAAATAGTATCGTGTGCCGTTGGCTTTATTTCTTACCGATTAGTTCGAAACAAAGACGGTCTACCGAAATATGATGAACTTATAAATATCCAGTGAGAACACTAACGTCGAATCAAGATCGAATCGACGTCGATGAGGTCGAAACCGCGTTCCAACAGTCAGTTTTCGAAAATAATTAGGTTTTTGAACCTTATTTTTTGTAGTAAATTACTACGTTCAACGTTCTGAATACTTGTAACCTTATTGGAGAGAACAGCCAAGTTAACTTATTTAATACGAAATTTAACAAAAATTAACTTCCAAAACTTTTAATTATAATATTTTCTAAAACTGACGATTGGGACGCAGTTTCGACCCTACTGTGTCGGCAACTTGTATTTTCTACTGATCTATCCGCGCGCTAGATACGTGGAACAAACAGATCGTAAGATAACATAAAGTTCTAACGAGCACTACATGCTCGGAAAGCATTTATTTAGTAATGAGACATTTCATACAATATACCTGCAATTGTGTGTTCGAATATCAAGTAAATAAATAATAAGTAATAAATAATTTCCCAAAAATAATGATAAATAACATCAAACTAATAATTTGCTAAATAAATTCCATGAGCTACAAGATAATTTAAAACAATATATTATATAATAAATTAAGGCTTATTCTTGTGAAATATGGCCGATGATCGAAGGCTCCACTTGTTGCTAATGATACTGAAACTCGTGTTGTTGCTGTAACGTTTCTGCAAAATACAATAAAAAGAGAAAACGTTAAGAAGAAATAACAGCAAGTTCTCTGAAAGAATAGCTTCAATTAATAAAATGCTTAATAGTTTTGTAATTATATATCTGTTTATGACAGGTAGATGTGTGGTGTCAGAGGATAGTGGTAACTAACGACATCAGATAGTTCATAAGCCAGTTAATTAATCTAATTACTCATGGATAGCACGTATATTTTAATCGAAGTCACAGCAATACACGTCTACGCAGATTTATCGAACGGCAACTTATAAAACACGCCGATAATTTCAGGGTGCGATAATTATGTTAATTATTATAATTAATTATTTTACTTCAACATACCATCAAAAGTAATATATATTAAAGTAAGAAAAAGATATTTATATAGATAGCTCTCTACAAGTCTACAAAAAAGTAACGTTAAAAATAGAATCCACTCGGCACAGGCGGAGATTTAAATGTGTAGAAATTATTACACAACTAGGCTTATACAAGCAAGTTTTTTCTACTCAATTTTTATATTCATTCAAGAATAAATATAATAAATTATCGCCTACCTTTAGCCATCATTTTCTACAACTTTTTGTGTGAGTGCCTAACGACAGAGTCATGCGTAGGCACAGATACATCGTCAGGCAGAGATTGAAGTCGAGCGCCAGGCGAACTCTTCTCTGCATCAATTACATCAACATATCCTTGGTTCGCAATTTTTTTATATTCTTCAAGACTATAATAAACAGAGATGCAAAATAGAATGTTTCTTCGTTTCATGCTGTTCTGGGAATCGATTTTGAATGACGTTTTAATTATTTCCGAAGTGCGTACCTTACGCGACCATCCTGATTAAGATCCATTTTTTCAAGCGCTTTTTGTTTCATCTTTTCTAGTTCTTCACATTTCTTACAGTCTAAACCGACAAATCCAGCCGCTGAATTACAGAGTTTCAACCTTATCTCGCTTTCATCAAAAAAGCCATCGTTATTCGAATCTAAACCGATATATATGTCATGGTATATGTAAAGAGAAATAATAATAATTTTTAACAATAAGATTAATTATACGAGAGTAGTTTTATAAATAACTTGGTCAGATATTAAAGAGAACAAGTTGAGTTTTGCGTACTTTATTTTTCGACACAGTATCTTCGAAGTTCAACGTTCGTAAATGAGCAAGCGCTTGCTCCAACGTTTCCCCAGGTTCGTGATTCTTTCGCGAAAAAGGATTTCTTCGAGACCCTCAAAATATGCGTTTGCCTCTTGTTTAAATTGTCATTTTGTTAGTGGTGAATCTAAGTTTCATGCATAATCACAAAACGCCACAAAAAATCTGTTGGATTCTGCTTGAACACTTCCAAACTACGGAGTGAACAGACACGCGGCAGATCTTGCGTAAAGTGTTTTCATGTCTAGTTCATTATGCAAAATAAACTGAACCCGCTCAGTTGAGATACCCGTGGCCTCTGCTAACTCGCGCCCTTTTAATCGGCTGGCAGCCAAAATCATATTATTGAAGTTATCGATCATTTCTGGCGTCACAGATGGTTTTGGAGCTCCAGGACGTGGTGCGTCTTCGATGCTTGTTCTACCACGCATATACTCATTTAGCCAAAGTCGAACAGTTTCATAACAAGAGGAGTCACCCAATGTAGGCAAAATTCTCTTATGAATTTACTTCGCTGTTTTCCCTTCCAGAAAAAATAATTGAATTACACCGCGAATTCCAATTTTACCCACTTCTAAGTGGCACTTAAAACGCTCGTGTTTAAGTAATTGTAAAACAATGAATTATCATCAGAATGACTTGTGACCATAGAATATTCATCTTTAAGAAGGAAACTTTATGACCACATATACGAATGTCATTGTCGCTCTCCATTGTATGCGAACCAAGTTACTTATCAAACCACCCTCGTATGTGTAATAAAAATAATCTTCCCTACCATGATTTTTAAAGAATGTCTCGGGAGCACGTTCTCGACTTTCCTTCCTTTCCAAACTTTTCTTATCCCTCACTTCATCTGGTTGTTGTTTCTCAGGATACGACTGCAATTGCGTATTACTTATTAGCGCCAGATTGTGCCCGATTCGTAGTTTGTGATTCGCAATTCACTATTTGCATACAAGTCTTTAGAACAGAAAAAAATAAGTTGATATCTATTTTTCAACTTACGTGTTCGTGATCCTCGGGCTCCTGCTTCGACTCTTTTACGTTTTCGTATTCGCTCTTGTTCTCCACCACCAGAAAACCTACCGAAAATGAAACATGTTAATTCCGAAAATAATAATTACGTATAAATTCGTAAATGAGCGAGCTAAAAGTGTTATATTCTGTTACCGGGATCTTCGTTTATCTTTATCTCCTCCTGGGCCTTTTTTTCCAACTCTTCTTTTTCAATTTGCTCGCGTCGTTTTCCCTCAACTATGTCTGTTGCCATCTGCAATATTTCAAAATAATATTACATATTTAATGAACGATGCGCGAATTCGCATAAAAGTCGGCCATATTTTCTATAAATCCAAAAGTTGTTCTACCGTGACGAACAATTTCTCCAGATCCTTCATCTGAAACACTTCCTTATAAGAGAGATCCAAATATTCTGCCATAATGTCGACATCCATAGAAAAAGGTTCAGTGGCAGCGATATGTTGCAGTCTGGACAAAACCGCTCGTTTAATTATGTCAAGTTTAAATTGAGCTTTCTGCACCACAGGGACAAACTCGTACGCCAGCCTGCCGGTCTACGTAAAAAACGTTTGATGAAAATTACACGTTGCATTCGATAGTAAATAAAAATCTATACACAGACAAAAAATATCCACTATTCAACAACTCAATACCCATCGATTTTTACTCGCGAGTTATGGCCAGATCGGTGTATTAATACATAATAATCGGTCGTGAAATTTTCTCGCTAAGAAAGCAACTATTATTGCACATGACAAGAGATAGATCGATTATATAATATGAATAAATTAGAAGGGTATAATATAAATTAATTAATCCTTAAATATCAATTAGTTTCAATTTGAGGCTTACAAGAAAATCGTTTGGACGAGCTGTTTTCAATCCTGCAACGTATGTCGGGTCAGCATCGAGAATCTTAAGTACCTCCGTTCTGTACTTACAATACTCCTCTCCATATACCGACTGCTCCTATAAACGAACAAATCAGATTGATGAAACTAGTAAAAAAATATTCGTATCGCATAGGAATAAATGATTTCATTCACCTTGCACTCCGCGAGTTTCTGTTCGCCAGATACCGCGACAGATGTCTGTATTGAAACCATTAGAAATAGTAGTGGAAGGTACCGCATTTTTCTGCAGCTAAATAAAGATAAACACAAAGATATACAAATTATGAAGGAGGTATAGAAAGGGCTTGAGAGTTTTTACCAAAAATGGAAAGCAAAGTGTGCTCTTTCCTACTAAACCGGCTTCGCTAAAATCGATTCTTTAATTGAAGATCCGGTTTCACCAAAGTCACTTAGCTTAAACCTTCGCTTAATCCAATCTTCGTCTTTCTCTAAGGTAGTCAATTAGGAACAAACAAAGGATGAATTTAACTAAGGTTCAAGTTGATGAAACCAAGTCTAAGCTGTATTTTACACGACCGTCAATGACAATTCGTGTGCTTCTTTTTCGATAAAGCGTCAGCGCGAAAGAAATTTGATGGAAAAATCGATAAAAACAACTTGCATATTACAGTTCCGGAAAACCCAACGTGAAATGATGTGCGAAGAATCGCGACAGTAACAGATATTCGTACGAAAGGGCTCGCGTGGATCACAGTCTACAGTTACCCATATCTCACAAACATATTTCTGAAACGGTATAACTTTGAATAATTTCTGGCGAAATAAACGAACCAGTCGTTCCCGACCTCCAGGATGTGTAACCAGCGACATGTATTCAAAGCGATGTGTACAAATAACATATAAGAGCGAAGATAAGGGAGCGCGAAACTTGCTATGACCGCTAAGAGACCGCTTGGCGCGATCATGTAATCGTTTAAAAGAAACAGTACCGATGTAACGTCTTTTCCTTTCAAAATTTTGCGATAGAGAAATAGGTCTATATGCACGTTTCACGCGGCGCATATAAAGAAAAATCTCTTACAAAGACAAACAGCAATAGCACAAAAGCATCATTGCATACGCATCTAGCGTGTGAGTATGTGTTTCTTTAAATACGCTCCTACTGTTTCGTATATCCGGAGTACCTACATTCCGCACGCAAATGTATAAGATGCTAAAACATTTGTAAGGTAAAAGTGCCAATGCCCGGACATGCACTTTTATCTGAACATCGTTTTTTTTTTGGTCTTTAAATACGGATCCTTAAACTTTCAGCCATGAACATATACACATATCACGAGACACGGTAGTGTCTCGCACCAAGTATAAGCGTAGCTAGAATCTTTAATATACATAGAGAAAAATCTCCTATGATAATATAGGCTAATATGAGATAGCGGAGTTTCTGCTAAATTAATTGGCATCGTCTGTTGGTTGCACCATAAATTAATTGTAGCAAAAAGAGATTTGTGATTGAATTTGGGAATTGAAAATCTGCTACCTCATATTAGAATCCTATCTCATAATAGAGGACTTTTCTGAGGATATGTCGTTTCGCGCGTTCTCTCGAAATGCACATGTACGTGCGAGGAAAACAATAACTGCGGTTTGCTCCGTACATTGTTCGCGGCGAATGCAAAAATGCAAAAAGAATGTCCGAGGGTATACGCAAACGCGATCAAGGCAGCAAGCGAAGTGTCTAAGGAAAATCGCACGCGGTATCCGCGATAAATCTACGGCAAGGTGACCAGTTCGGAGTACAGATCCGTTTTTCCTGCGAGAACCGCGCTGTATAATACGGAAGATAAAAGCTAAAGGGTGTCGAGTGGTCCGGAGATTTCGGCTTACATTGACGGACGTTGCGAAGGAAAATGTCCAGGTGATGACGTGGCTGCCGTCGAATATTCGAAAACTGATTGACGAGACCAAGCACAAGTGAACAGCACGATGGATAAATAGATACTGTCGCAGTGTTACGATTCGTGGCCTCCAGCCCGGTCCCTCTTGTTTATTACCGATTCGTTCGGTTACAAAGACGTTCTACCGAGGTATGCGAGTTATGCTGTTTTTATAAATACATCTTATACACAGTGAAGTAAACATGTTACGTGTATATCTATCCGCGTGGTTGACACGTGAAACAATCAGATCGCAAGATAACGTAAAATTCTAACGAGTAAACAAAGAATGAATTAAACTACGATTAACGTGAAACAATTGATGAAACCGGGCCTTAGAGAAATAATTGATATCAACAGACCAAAGCTAACGGCACACGATACTATTTTTCTTATTGAATTGCTTACGAGAGCCAATCAGGATTTAGCCTTGAGTCACCCGATCTAAAACTCTGCGTCTTTATTGGTTCTCGTAAGCAATCCAGGGGAAAAAAATAGTATCGTGTATCGTTGGCTTAATTCGTCCGTTCACTTCAACTTCCGCAATAGAAACCAACGTCTTCGCGCAAGTTTCACGCGGCGCATATAAATAAAATTCTCTTACAACGACAAATGCAATGAGACAAACGCATAATGCACGACGTGTAAATACATGTATTTTTAAATATGTTTCTTTCAGTGCGTAAATCCGGAGAACCTATATTTTCATTTTTGCCTCGTCTGTTCATTTGAGACTCGATTGCGATACGTCGTTTGGCGCGTTCTCTCGAAATACGCGTGCACGTGCGAAGAGGAGGACGGCGGTTTGTTCAAATGGACGTGGCGAATGTAAAAATGCGTGTAGAAAAAGACGTGCGAAGGAAAGGTACACGGCGTATAATGAACAAAGAACGACGTTTTCAGTGTACCTAGCGCCTAAAGTTAAGCAGGGTGTAGTAACAAATAAATATAAGAAGTTAAACATGTGTCCTTTCATATCCTGCCTTTTATCCTTTTCCTTAATGCCTTCCGGGATTTGAATACAGCTCTGTTCCAGTCTCATTCACCGTAGACTAACATTTTCACAGTAAAATATTGATTATTATTAAACTTCAATCTCGTTTGTGAAAAAGTTTTCAACGTTGACAGGGCCTTGGCGGAGTTTCATGTGTATCAGATATATCTATATCCTGTGGACAGTTGCAAGATAATATACATAAGGTTCTACAAACGAGTTATACATGTATAGTAGATATATTTGTATCCTGTGCGCAGTTGCAAAATAACATACGTTTTAACGAGTTATACATTTTCGGAAAACATTTATTTAGCAATGAGACATTTTATACAATATAAATTCCAATTTTTCAAATATCAAGTAATGAAATAATTTCTTAAAAACAATGACAAATATTAACGATCTTAGGAACAATTTGCAGAGTTAATTCGATGAGCTAAAAAATTGAACGCAGTATATTACACATGCGATAATTAAAGCTCTTTTTCTACCTACAACCACATTGAGTTCTGAAACGAAAAAAATCATGTGAATCGTTTCTTTCTAATAATATATGTCAAAATAAATTAGTTCACATAACACCATCCATGAATAGCGTAAATTAATCAAATGCATAAACGAACGTGTTATGTCGGCAAAGCAGCATTAGCCTGCTCGTTGAGCAAATGTACATTGATTAAAATATTAAACTGCTTTATCACAGCGGCTAGCCTAATTGCGTGGATTTTATCTTTACTTATTAACAATTTAATTTATTATAAATGTCATATGATTTCGAATTAAATGTCAGCACGTATGTTTATAAATTTGTTTCCGAATTAAGTAACTATATAATATTATTTATATTTTATTAGTTTTCATTTACATCATGGAAATATATCATATATCTTAATTATATGTATATGATATATCTTCAATATATCTTCAGTATACATCATACATAATAATGATAATTTCTAAAATATAATTTATATTATATAGTAACAAAAATTATAGTCCATATTATTTCGAAAACATGTGTTCAACGATATATGAGATACCGATTATTAAACATTTTACATTTGCTCGGCGAATAGTCTAATTGTCTTTTGACTGCATTCAAGGATTCTCTTCTTATCCGTGGATTGAGACAAATAGCTATAAATCTTGATCAAGTTATATAAATTATAATTAATTGGTTATCCAAAAAGGGATAATTAATTTATACAATTATTTTGTATTTAGATATTACGAGAAAAAGAATTTACATGATTTCTTGCTTCCAACATCGTCACTGAATATGGCTGATGTCTAATGACTGAAATCTCGAAAAAATACAAAAGTAAAATTATTACCAATATTTTTAGTATAAATATAAAAGTCTACAATTCAATTGCACTTCTCTGAAACAAAAATGTTTTAAAGTCTTACATGGGATTAAATCGACAATCATAGAACTTTACAATATTTTTATCCATTATTTAAAAAAAATTAACTAGAAACATTTTCGTCAACTATTCGATCATCACGTTGCATTATCTACATGTTTATATGTTCGGTATACTGTTCTGGTTGATTTGTTGTTTAGCGGAATTCAAATCTTGTTGCTGTGGAAGATTGTGGCTGACTTGTGCAGCGCCATGACTGCTCGACGGAACGTTACCCTGAGTATTTTGTGGCACTTGATTTTGGATTTGTTGCTGTTGTATTTGTTGTTGAGCCTGTTGAGGCTGATTTTGGATCTGTTGTTGGACCTGCTGAGGCTGATTCAGATTCTGCTGTTGGACCTGCTGAGGTTTAATCTGAGCCTGCTGTTGAACCTGCTGAGGCTGACCTTGGAATTGTTGATGTACTTGCTGAGGTTGGAACTGAGGCTGTTGCGGTACTGGTACTTGGTACTGCGGCTGTTGTCCCTGGTACTGCTGATGCTGCGGAATCTGACTAGGATAATGCTGCTGAGGAGGTGGAACTTGTGGTTGATACTGTTGCTGTGGCAATTGACCCTGGTATTGTGGCACATGGCCAACTGGTTGTGGTGGTAGTTGTCCTTGTGGATGATACTGGGGATCGTATTGTTGGTACTGTGGTGGGAACTGTAAAACGACAAGAAAAGAATGTATTAAGATAAGATAATCACACATCTGCTGAAACAATAACTTGAATTGATAGAATGCATAATAGTTTTGTAATTACTCACCTGTTCATGTTGGACGGGTAGATGTGCAGTGTCAGGGGATGGTGGTAACTAACAACAACAACAGAAAGTGCACAAGCTAGGTTAATTATTCTAATTACTACGGATAGCACGTCTTTTAGTAAAAGCAATAGCGATAACTTCTACGCAGCTTCTATCAAACGGCGACTTATGAGACACGCTTATCGTGCTAGTAATTACAGTCGCGCATCACAAAAAAATAGTTGGAGAAGCGACAAAATCTAATTTTACCTCGAACATGCTATCGAAGGTGTATATACGAAAGCAAGATAAAATCGTTTAGATAGCTCTAGACGTCTATAGAAAACTAATGTTCAAAAAATAAAATCGAAACTCGACATATACGGGGATCTAATCCTGTAGCAATTACTGAGATACACACAACGGGACTTATATAAATATGCTTCTCTACTCAATTTTTCAGTGCATTAAAATTGATAATTGAATGCCTACCACTGCTTTGGAAACTATTTTCTGAATTTCTTCCGCTCTTTGCCTCTGGAAAGCTTCGTATTCTTGCTGAGAATAAATTTGTTGCTCATCCAATCCCTGCCATCCTTCATCCTGCTGGAAATCGGGTTTCTTCGTTTGTTCTAAAAATTCTTCATAACTGCAATAAGCAAAAGCACAAAATAGTTCTTCGTTCCATGTGATTGTAACAATCCATTAGTTACTTTTCTGAACACTAATTTTACTAATTTCCGAAATATATACGTACCTTATGAGACCATCGTGATTAAGGTCGGCTTCATTAAAGACGTGTTCTCGCATCCTTTCCATTTCTTCCCGTCTTTCGTAGGTATCGTCCTCAGGCGCACCTTCAGTGTAAAGTTTATCCAATTCTTTCAAAAACAGAGCCTTTACCTCGTCTTGATCCCAGAAACCATTGCCGTCCAAATCTAAATCAATTTGTCATTGTATGTATTAAGAGGAACTATTTTTTTTAATAATGTTGATCAATTATGTAACAAATGTGATAATCTTTCCTACCATGAAGGTAAAAGAACGTCTTGGGATCAAATTCTTGAGCTTCCATATGATCTTGCTTCTCCCATACTTCTTCCAACTGTTGCTTGCTACCAGGATGATGCAACTGCAAATGCGTATTGCTTGGCGTGATTCGTAATTCGTAATTTTGTAATTCGCAGTTCTCTATTCGTACAAGACTTTATAGAAGAATAGAAAGAAACTAGTTCACATCCGATTTTCCACTTACTGGTTTGTGATCCTTATGCTTCTTCTTCATCGCTTCTAGCTCCTCCTCGTATTTCTTCCTCTCTTCCTCCTTCAGACCTTCCGAGAATTGAACGTCTTAATTTCAATTCAAAAATAATTATTACATATAAATTCATAAATAAGCAAATCTAAAAGCGTCATGTTCTGTTACCGGTATTACCCTTCATCTTTTGCTCCTCCTCGAATTTCTTCTGCATCTCGTATTCTTTAAACTGCTGGCGTCTTCGTTTATCAGCATCCGCCAAGTCTTTCGTCGTCTGCAATATTTCAAAAAATTTTAAGTACACATTTATTAGACCAAGTAATTCATATAAGAACCGGCCATATTTTCTACAAATCCAGCTGTTCTACCTTGGCGATCAATTTCTTCAGATCGTCTATCTCGAACGTGTGCGCATTAGAGTGATCCAAATGTTCCGCTATCTTTAAATGGTCTATATCCAGGCCGTTTATCAGATTGTGCTCCTTGGTAGCGAGATGTCGCAGCCTCTCCAGCTCCTCCCGCTTCAATTCGTCAAGCTTTGTTCTGACCTTGTGGTTCACGAACTGCAGTTCGTGCGCTATCTTGCCCGTCTACGTACAAAATCATCTGATGAAAATTACAGATTGCATTCAATAGTATGGAATCTATATATAGACAGACAATATCTAACATTCAACGATCGTATATACATAGACACATTTCTATTCGTGAGTTCTGCTAAGATCAGGGTGTCACAAACATGATAGTCTAGCATAAAATTTCAATGTTTTAACAAACAAAAAAGGCAACTGTTGATCATGACGAGAAATCAAACGCGTTGAAATTATATAATATAAATAGATTAGAATTACTTAATGTAGACAAATTAATCTTCGTGTCTTAATCAGCCTTAATTTGGGACTTACACGTATATCGTCTTCATGGGCCTTTTCCAACTTTGCACGGAATTCCGGATCACTTTCCAGGGCTTGAACCACCTCCTTCAGGTACCGATGATACTCCATTTGGTACTCTGGATTTCCCTACAAAGATGAACGTTTTACGACGTTACCCATATAAACCGGGTCGATAGAATTGTCGCAAATATATATCTACCAAATCGTCAGAGTCATCGACCTCGTTCGTGTCCTTGTGGTCCTCATTCTTCTTTTCGATTGGCGGTGCGACCGATGTCTGTATTATTAAAACTACTAACAATAGTGGTAGAAGGTACCGCATTTTTCTGGAACTGAATAAGAACAAAAAGATATATTAGATATATAATAGTAAAAGAAAGTCGCAGAAAGTGCCGGGAGAATTTTTATCGGCGCGAAATAGAAAGTGCGCGCTTATCCACTGGAAAAACCAGCTGTCCAATTTAAGTCGTACTTTATATTCCCGTCAGTGACAGTTCGTGCGTTATCTCTTATTCGCGATAAAGCCTTAATGATTACGATCGCATGCGTGGAGAAGATTAAAGAAGATTAAACCATCGATCAACAATTCGATAAAAAAGACTGCATTACGTATATAGCGTCATATTTGCATCGCGTCGCAACTTTAGCTAGCGGGACTCGGGTTCGAGCGCATAAATGCACACGTGCGCAGCGTCGCATTTGATGTCGCAGCTCGAGGAAATCCGAGGTCAACGTGGAACGAACGTCAGTGAAGCGAAAGGCCACCCACCTACAGTGGGGTCTTTTATTCTCGAAAAATACAATTTGTCATGAAAGTGAATACTAAGAGCTAGTTTTACAAATGACGGTCAACTGCTAACCGAAGGTTGATCGGTTTACTGTCCCTTCTTAAAAACAACAAGACAGAGAAGGACAGGGAGTTGACTCAACTCCGGTTAACAGTTAACCGACGTTCGTGAAACTGGCTCTGGGGCTCGATTCTCGAATTCGTTCGAAGGAGAAACATATGCGAAAATTCTGCTCTTACAGAAAAGTTCCGAGTCGATTGGCTATTCGCATGGTCCTCAACCAATCGACTTTCAACTTTTCTGCGAGGGTACAATTTTCGCATTGCGTTTCTCTTTCGAATGAATTCAAGAATCGAGCCCCAGAGCACAATATTCCGCTGATGAAATATCGTACGCGATATTTTTCAAGAACAAGACTGCAAAGTCCGGGACTGTGAGTTGTTAGTCGTAGGTTAGAAGTCGGATCTATGCGACGGTCCTTCCTCTTCCACTTCAAATGCACCGTAGACATAATACTTCATATTCCAGTTACGACATAGATTTGGTCAATATGACATGAAATCGACGTCATCTGGACGTTACATTTTCCTTGGGCGACGTTGTTCAACTTCGAGCTAACAACAAGCTTCATTCGTTCCTCGTCCCTTTCCAACTATTACTTAAGAAAAAGACAGACATGAATTCAACCAAGATCAATCGGCGGTTGGTGAAACTGGGCCTAAGGCTCCAGATTCGTAGGGAAAGCGCACACGTGGACGAACGGGACACGTCAGTCCGTGGTGGAGTGACTTTCGATAATCTTCCCAGTCGTGGACGGTGGGAGGCGGGCGAGATGAACGAATCGGTCGTTATCGATCATCAAGGTAACGCGGAACGCGCAGATGTGCGGCGACGTATTCAAGGCGATGTGCACGAACGTCCGCGACCGGACACAAGACGACGACGAGTCCCCCCCCCCGTTTCCGGCTTCCGCGGCGGAGACGCGTGCACCTCGTCTTACGCGCGGCGCGTACAAGCATAGAAATGTCTCGCAAATGACAAATGTCAGCGGCAAGGTATTGTACGCGCACCTGCCGCGTAAACACGTGTCCCTTTAAATACGTGTCCACGCGTCACATCCCGTTTATACCGCATGGCGTTTTCGCACGCCTCTCGTTACGGAGTACTCGTACGGAGTACGCGGACGTGTCCAAGCGGTTTTTGTTCCGGGTATCTTTGCCTCGTCCGCTCGATTGCGACACGTCGTTTCGCGCGTGTGCGTGCGTGCGTGCGTGCGGAAAAAGAAAAAAAAGAGGACAGCGGCGACTCGCGCGCACGCACACACGTACGCGCGACGGACGTGGAAACGCGTGCGGAGAGGACGCGCGTAAACACCATCAAGGCCGCCGCGGGCGAAGGATCCCGGGGAATCGTCCGCGGTGAAAGTTGAGCGAGAGCCAACGGCGGATCAATTCGGAGCGGAGATCGGCGTTGTGTAACGCGGCGGGTTTAGAGGCTAGGAAGGGAATCTCGGGCGGCGCGGGTGCGGCGAGGCTTACGTTGACGGGCGTCGCGACGCCGGGTGGTGTGCAGGTGACCGTTGCGGCTGCCGTGGATCGCCGTGTACTCGCGGCCGAGGACGGACTGGCGTGCGAGCGCAAACGCGAGCGGACGACACGCACGGCGGACAGACACTGCCGATGCGTTATCTCTCGTTGACACCGCCGACCCGTGCTGCCACCTAATAAGCCTGACACGTGCGCGAGCCGTGCCAGATCGATATGCACTGCGCGTTACTCGACGCGCCGCTGATTGACGCTCGTCTAACTCGTCTTCCGTCAGACGAGGCGCGGAACAGGAGAAATGGGAGTAACGAAACTTTTTTTTGTGGGGGGAGGGAGAATGAGAGTATTCCGCAAGGATAAACGTAAAAGCTTTCGTACCATCGTCGCATGCGCGCGTCAATGAGACTCAGCCACGTGGCGCGCACGCCAGATGGTGACAGATGGCTTCATTCATGGGCGCCAAGTCGACTCGTAGCGCCGAACTATTTCGATTACGTCTTAAAATATCGCACTCTCCGTCTGTCACGGACCGGAAGTTTTATAATTAATTTACCGCGCTCGTGATCCGCCTTTAAGTATCGTATAATTGATCAGGGTCGGGATTGGTCGAGCGAACTTATTATTTAATTGTATTACTCTTGGTCTGGCTTCAATACCCTGGTGAAAATATTATAAATTGGAGGGTAAATCGAAGGTAAGGAGAGAGTGATAGAAGCGTAAATGATAAGTGTGGGTAGCGTAATTTGGAACAGCGAAGCGTAAAAGAAACTTCCACGCTTCTTTTACGCTTTGCTGTCCCAAATTACGCTTTCTACACATTTCGTTTGCGCTTCTGTCACTCTCCCCTTACATTCGATTTACGCTCCAAATTCTATTTTCACCAGGGTAGATTTTCGTTATTTCGAGTTACTAGAATTTTATATAGAAAAAATATATAATGCTAATGAAAAGGCGTTACAAACTTATCGCCTCGAAGCGCCGAACTACTTCGATTAAGTCTTGAAATATGGTCATCTGTCGCGAACGGGAAGTTTTCTAATTAATTTACTGCGTTCGTGATTCGCCTTTGATTAACTTATAATTGATTAGGATCGGGATTGATCAAGCAAACTTATTATGTGATTATATTACCTTTATCCTGATTTCGATAGATTTTCGTTATTTCAAGATAAAATTTGTAACATATCGTTACTGGAATTTTATATAGAAAAATATATAACGCTAATAAAAAGGCGTTACAAACTTATCGTCTCGTAGAGTCGAACTACTTCGATTACGTCTTAAAATATGGTCATCTGTTACGGACCGGAAGTTTTATAATTAATTTACTCCGTTCGTGATTCGCCTTTAAGTATCTTATATTTGTTTTGGATCGGAATTGGTCGAGCGAACATATTATTTGATTGTATTATTTTTATTCTGACTTGAAAGATTTATAATAAATAAATTTTGGTCGACTTTAACTGGCACGTGTTGACTGCTTATTATATTGCTTGATTATTTATTAAGGAATTGCTTGAAAAAGAGCAAAACTCATGATCGAAACGTTGCTGTGTATTTTTTTTAAATTTATTAAACACGTGCCAGTTAAGGTCGACCAAAATTTATTTATTGTTATTTATTACTGGCAACCGCTCGAGGTTTGAAAGAGGTTTTCTTTTTGTATTCGATCCTTTTTGTATTATTTTTCTCTCACTGCATCTCTTTTGCAACAAATTAAATGAAATTAATTACAAATTTGATTAAATTACATATAATGTTAATAAGAAGTCGTTACACACTTGATCCTACGATAATTTAAATCTTGTAAAAATCTATTATATATCCAATGTAAATGAATAAATTTGTTAATTTCAATTTTGAGCTGATTTATATAGTGTTACCGCATTTCTTCAAACGTCTATCACTCATTGTCAGTCGGAGAAACATCACTCATGTGACATGTATCTTTATGTGTACGTCAAAATAAATTGGCAGCAAGAGCCTTGCCTCATTACGTGCACGTGGAAAGACGTGGAAGAACACGAGGCAATTGATATTCTCGAAAAACATCTTCAACAATGGTTTGAAACCTCGGAACTATGGCGTAGAAATAATTCCGCCTGTCCTTTTGTCAAGTACGCAAATAAAATTGTTTAAACCGAGGGATTACAATAGAAACAAAATTTATTTAAAATCGAAGTACGTCGGAGCGCACAAGACCGAGAAGCTGTAATTTGTTAAGCTTATACGTGAAAAAAAAGAGACTTTAGCCTTGCGCGCGCGCATATATTTCAATGATTTTATGTTCGATATAAACGAGTTTCGCGCGCCTGTATATACCTTTCGCGCTTTCGTATTAACAGGTCTAAGATTAAACCGCGTAACCCGGCGATTCTCGCGTAAAGACAAAACATTAGCACGCGAATTGAAAAATACAAAACCGAGTAAAGTTAAGTGTCCCTTAATCTACTGGAAAAGTTGCGCGTCGCGTAAGCTTATTGTGCGCCACGTAATGCAGATAATTGCGACTGTTTCAATTCACGGCTCGATAGTTAACGCTGGCCGAGTGCCAGACGTAGTCGCGAACGTGCAGCTCATACAAACAAACCAACTGACAAGTCGCTGATGACTATCTTCCGACCGCGCTGAGAACTAATTTGTGGGGTGCAAAGAGTCATCCCGCGAGCCGAGCTTCGCGCGCACGAATTACGAAAAAGAAATAGAAAAAAAAGACATAAGTATCTCGACCACGAGCCATTGATTTTCCGCGAAACAAAATCCAGCGAGAATCCCGATCGCCGCGCGATTAAACGTGCACCCCATCTCGGCGCGGAGACGTCGAGGTAATTAACGCAGCGCACAAAGCCGACCGTAAAATTCGCGGGCGCGGCGTGCTAAAGCGCGGTGCCGCGCCGTGAAAATCTATTACCGGCCTTAAAGGCTTCGGGCCAATAACCCCATTTACATTTTATAGCCGGCTGTTCTATCTTGATTTGGGCGGCAAGTAGGTCCGGTGTGTTTCTCGCCCTGGAAACCGGAAAAGGAACACCGAGAGCGCTAAAAAAGGAGAGAGAGAGAGAGAGAGAGAGAGAGAGAGAGAGAGAGAGAGAGAGAGAGAGAGAGAGAGAGAGAAGAAAAAGGAGAGAAAGCTGCGCGTATCGATGGCGAACGAACGAACCGACAGGTCGAGGTGGCCTCCGGTGCGTTATACGCTAAAGTTTACGACCACGCCCCTGACTGATCGGAACCTGTGCCGGACACGATTCTCCACTTGACCACCCTAGCCAAGCGAAGTGTCGTCACTTCGAAACCCCCCGTGTCGTCTCGACACAATGCCCAGAACTAATTCGCCGCGAAAATAGCGCCGGCACTTTTAAACTGTGGGGAGATGGGGATTTAAATATCTTTCTTAAAATCTTCTCTCCTCCCCCCCTCTCGTTCTCTCTCTCTCTCTCTCTCTCTCTCTCTTTGTCATCGAAATTTAAATCTCCCTTTCCGCACGTTAGTAGCTCACACAGCTCGAAGAATTTCATTGTGCGGTGTTTTGTCAGACATAAATCATCAGCTGTCGTCATAATAAGCAATCGATTGTCAATAGGGGAGACCTCCAAGCTAAAAGCCCAAGTTCTAAAAGCCCAAGTTCCCTGGATATTTAAAAGTTTTCGAATAGCAAGATTATGTTTCGACACAACGAGTCCCGTCAGAAAAAGGTGATATTTCGATAACGGTATTCAATAGAGTGGTACGGTGTGCCGGCACGGTGTGTGTCGCACTGTCGGGCGTCCCTTAAAGTACCGATAGCCACATCGCTATTGTCGCAAGTATAACAATACCGCACATCTCAATGCGTAAGGAATGCGATATGGAGTATCGCTATGCGAAAGCCCCTATTAGATCGATCCTCGACAGTATCTTGGACCCCCCGCCGACAGCCACGGAGCGAACGCCGTGGATCATCGCGCGCGTTTCCACGTCCTGAATACGAAATGACACGAGGAAACCCACTCTTTCCTCCGAAGCCCCCGGCGAAGGTTTGAATTCCTGGGTTGGTCATTAGGACGGTATACCTGTGTCTACAATCTTTTGTAGTGGCCTGTTACCTCGCCGGCCACAATGCCCCGGGCCCGGACAAGTGTTTTCGTATCTGATTGACCCATCTCCGGGGCAGGGCCTCCGACAAACGGCTAATTTTTCTTCGAGCTAACGACCTTCATATACCTGACCTCCATCTACCGCGCCTCCCCCCATCGTCCCCTCGCCACCGCCCTGTCCCCCAAACCTCTTACCAATATCACCTCTTTTGTCTTTTCCCGCTGCTGCGTCGTTCGCTTCGCGTCCACCTATTTGCGAAGCTGCGGAGTCACCGGAAACGCTCGCGAGTCGGCTCTCGGCGTAGGGTGGGATCCACCGTCCGTCCGTCTCCCCCGTACTCCCTCTCGTACTCGCGGGACCCTTTTGCGCCCCGCCCTCACCCTTACCTCTTTCGAAAACGCGCTCCTAAGAGAGGAGTCCGGCTGAGGCCGCACGGCGCGTTCTCCACTAGTAGGACCACCTACCGCGCGGGAACGGCGTATCCTCTCGTGTCCTGTCGAGGACCCGCCGCGAGGAGGTCCGGCTTTTTTTACCGTTACTCATTTCTTCGCGGAATTCGGCGGAGAGTATAAAAAGAGAGACAGACGGACAGACACGGGAAGCTCGACGGTATCGTCCTAAAATCATTCACTTTTGCCGCTCAAATGAAGCTACAAGTGAAAATATGTGAATCACGAAGGAAAAATCTCGCCACCGGGATTCTTCAAAGGTGAACACGTTCTGGGCAAAATTCCTTTCGTGTTTCTTCCGATCCTTCCTCGATAGCCTCGGAGTGTTAAAAGTGCATTTTCTTTGGGAAAACGCGCGCACGCCCAACTATTCGATACTTTTCAAAGTAGCGTTATCGATCCTTTTACAATATATGTATGTGTTGTAACGTTAAATGTCAACACATTAATATCCTGCTTATGCTAAGGAATAATCAATCATTCAATTCTCTGCAATCGACTCCGAACTTCCACGTATCATAGATGCGACATATAGCGAAGAGAGTAAGATTATGTTAATTTAAGTTGAAATGACGAGCAAGCTAAACTCATTACAAGTTTTTAACAACTATTCCTATTAAGATTATAATAATTATATATAATAAATGTGATTTAGATTATATTGCTATGCTTGTAATTTTATAGCTATCTTCGTAATACGTACAGATCCGATAACGACACTAGTTTC